CCCGCGCGCCGGCCGCCGCGGCGCCGCGCCGCTCCTCGGGGCGCCGGTCGCGGGGCGCGCGGCGGCGGCGGCAGCTGGATCGCCCAGCGGCTCCCCGCCTCATGTGACCCCGCTGCTGCGGACGCCCTCTGTAAGCTCTGTCAGCGGCGACGCTGCCGGCGGCGCGGGGCCGAAAAAGGCACCCTGCGAGTCGCCCAGGTCGGACGTGAGCTCGGTGATCTGGCCGGTCAACGACGATGCGCCGCCCGCCGGCGGCGTTGACCAGGACGCCCGCGCCAGCGGCGCCGCCGCCGCCGCCGCTGCTGAGCCGCCGCTGGTCGCCGCGCACTCAGCGCCCGCGACGCTCGAGGCGGCCTGGGCGTCGGCGGTGCGGGCCGCGTCCGCGTCGGGCTCGGGGCTCGTGCACCGCGCGCCGTCGTCGGCGCGGGCGGAGCATCTGCTGCACATCATATCCAGCGGTGCTTTCGGGTCCTTTTTCGGGGGGGACGCGCGAGACACGTCGCAGAGCGGCGCCCTCCACGGCGCGCGGCCGGACTCGATCCCCTCCAACATCAAGCTCGACGTGTTCAGCAGCGGCGCCAACTTCGCCGGCGCCAGCGGCGGCGGCAGCGACGCGGGCGCCGGCGCCGGCGCGCGTGGGGGCCGGCCGGCCGATGAGGGCACGGCCGTGGGATCGCTGCCGCTGCCGCAGCTGCGGGTGCCGCGCGGGTTCCACCTCCTGCGGCCGATTTCCAGCGGCAACAGCAGCGACAGCGGACACGGCGGCGACGGCCGGCGGCAGGCGACGCCGGCGGCGGCGTCCCCGGGGCAGCGGCTGTTCGGACTGCAGCGCACGCCGCGCGCGGCGCCCGAGTGAGGCCGCGCGGCTCGAGCGATGACACGCGCCACACCCTCCCCATGCTGAACCGGACACAGTATATTTTAAGCCGCGGCCGCGACGAAAGCGCGCGCGGGGCGGCTGCTCGCACTGCCATCTCTATCCAAGGCGCACGGCTGGCGCCTCTCTGTAGCGGATGCATCTGCTAAACTCCAAAAAGGAGGCTGCACAGCAAACGAAACCCTGTGGGGGCCCTAATATTTCTCAGCCTGTGGCGAATGGGCTCGTCGCCTTGCGGTGGGTCCTGCACAATGCCCCTGGTGGTGGGCCCTGTCTGCCCGGCTTGCTTGTAGGGGGTGCTGCGCTGCACGTGCGCGGGCGCGAGGCGCCCCGTGGAGCCCCTGCCACTGCATGATCGCACTGGCTTGGCGGCTCCCACGCCGTGCGGCGGCCCGCGCGCAGCGGCCCGACCTCGGCCGAGTGGACACACCGGCGCGCGCGGGGCGCTGCCGTGTTGCGCACAGCACAGGATGCCTAGTGCATGGGCCTTGGATGGCTGGTGTCTAGTGCCTGCGTGCAGCCCCAGGTTGGGCAGCGCTGCGTCAAGGGATTTGCACGCCGCCTTATGGCATGCGAGCCCGCCCAGGCAGGCGCGCCGTGCAGCCTCCACTCCCCACGCACATCCTCAGCAGGCATGGCAAAGACGCCACATCCCTTTGCACCGCGGCCGCGGGCGGCCGCTGACCCGTCCCCCGCCCCGCGCCCTTGCGCTCCCCAACACACCCATGGAATACGCTCGCGCCGCACCGGCTCTCGCGGCCCCGGCGGCTGCCGTGAACCACGCGGGTTGCGCTGCAGCCTTGTTTTGTCGCTGACCGAATCGCGTTGCCAACGCCCTGACAAGGGCATGTCCAGTCGGCCGGCGCCGCCCACAGAGCGTGGCGCCCTCCGCCCCCCGGCTGCGCCACCGTTGACCCCTTGCGCGTGCGCCGCCGCTGGACGCGCACCGCTGGGCTGAGATCACGTTTGACCTCAGCTTATCCTGGCCCTCCGTCTAGTCGGCGCCTTGTGCGGCAGTAGATGCAAATAGGATGTGTTAGGTTGTAATTATCAGGAGTTGCTCGTGGAGCTCACTGGTTGCACCAGCAACAGCAACATATCGCTTCAGAAGCTCAGATCAAGTTGACCAGATCGTTTGACAGGGGGGCGCCGAACACAGGCGATACGCCTTACATGGGAAATCCTCGTGCAACTGCCATGTCGACGCACCTCGTGCAACTGCGCACCCACGCAGAGCCAGCAAGCCAGCCTCAATTGGGCTGCAGCAGCTGTGGTAGCCAGCATGCTTTTCCAAGGGCATTAAGGATATCTTGTCGTGTGTGAGTGTAAGTGTTTTGGGGGGGGGGGCTACAAGGAGTGTGTGGTGGTTTTGATGCTGTTGGTGCATGTGGGGGTTGCATCAGCGGAATGCCCTTGGTGCCTCAGGCCGCCCCAGCCAGGCGTGGGCGGCGCCAGATATGCAAATGGCCGCAGCTCGCGAAGCGCTGTGGGGGGTAGTGCCCTGGCAGCGTGCAACAAATTTGCATCGGTGTCGCTCGCGCTGCCTCAGGCCGCCCCAGCCAGGCGTGGGCGGCGCCAGATATGCAAATGGCCGCAGCTCGCGAAGCGCTGTGGGGGGTAGTGCCCTGGCAGTGTGCAACAAATTTGCATCGGTGTCGCGCGCGCTGACTTGGGCAAGGGGGGCTGCCTCCACAGCACATTGCTGATCTGACTCACATGCTGCTTCAGCTGCAACAAGATGCAGGTGTTTGGAATGCCACTTACACGTACGGCCATTACATGCAAGGATGCCCATGTATGTGCATGACAGGTGTAAACCGCCATGGTTCACAGATACTTTTGGTTGCAACAACAGCGAATGTGTGACCTAGGTCCACCCCAACCCCATGCAGCCAAGGGGCTGCGGCCCTGGCAACCCCTCATGCAGGTCCTGCCGCCATACATAATTTAGCAAAATACGGGGGCGTGCGGCTGTATATCAGCGCCCAAAGGGTAACCCATGAAGGAGGGGCAACCCCCAACAGGCGGCCAGAGATGATGGGCACGCCAGGCACGTCCTGACCTGTTCAAGAGCTATGCAAACTGGCATGTTCATATCAGCTATGCAAAGTGGGCTATTTGACCGTGCTGTGTACGCCGCACGTGACCGCTTCGGACCGCCTACCCAGTTGGCTAGTCACAGGTGCTGCCCTTGTCAGGGACAGCCGCTCGTTTCGAAGGGGCATTGTTCAGCAGGGAAGCGGTGTTTGTCGCGCAGCAAGCCAGAGTATCAAGGCAGATGTACAAATGATCAGATATGGGTGCGGGAACATGGTCAACCGCTGGTCAAACCCGAACCGAGCGTGACGTGCAATGGCAGCGGTGCGGCCCGAAAGGGCAGCGTGCACAGCAATAGCCCATTTCCTAGGATATCACCATGGTGAGAGCCTTTGTAGCTACACCTGTAGGGGGCTGTCCCAGGAGAACGGATGCTCACAAACTGCGGCAGTGCAAGGGCCGTAGCGGCGTGTACGTCTGAGAAGCCCACCATAAAGCACCCCATCTGCGGGGCGCACCCCAACAAGAACGTGTGCGCAGCCGGGCCGCTCAAACGGCACCCGCAAACGCCACCTTGTTTAAAACCAGCAAGGTAGAGGGGACCAGCACCTGCAAAGGTGCAGCCGACATGGAAAGCGTTATTGCTGCTTCCCGCCACCACATTTGATCTGCCTGCATGTGGTCGCCCTGTAAGGCGGCGGGCGGCGGTACAAATGTTCGAAATGCCCAGCCTGTTTTGCAGCACTACCTCGGCCTTGTGTTTCGCATCACGGTGTGCAATGCAACGGCGGCGGGTAATGCAGCGCAAGTGCGTTTGAGCTACAAAAGACGCAACCGCAGAATGCTGCTGCCACCAAGCAATCCAAGTGCCGTAGTGCTCTGCATGCGGCGGCGCGGCCGCACCGCTGAGCGCGGCCGAGCGCGCGGCCATACAGGCAAATCGTGGGCCGCAGGGCCCTTCATTCTTCTCCAGCTGTCCAGTTTTGTAAGACAGAACGCCAACCGAGGCGCTCGCGCCTGGCTGGCCCAGCCGCATCCAACTGAAGCTGGCTAGGATCTACTTCAAAGCGCCGGGCGGAGGAAGCAGGTTGATAGGTCCATACCTCTTGTTGACACGTGCACGCGCCAGCTCGCCAACAATCCGCGGAACGCCGGCCTCAGCCCCGCCTTGGCTGCCCCTTCTGCTTGTGCCGATGGGCGCTGCTCTTGGCGTGCCGGCCGGCGGGCCCCGCCGACGCAACGAGCCGGCGCCGCACGGCTCACGCGCGAGATCAGCGGTTGTTGCGCACCCCGAGGTTGTACGACCGCAGCGCGTTCGAAATCGCGGTGTCGCGGTAGCTGCCGCTGTTGGAAGAGCTCAGGTAGTGGATGCCGACGACGTCGTAGCTGATGATGTTCCACAGGAATATGCCCTTCACGCGGTAGGTCGGGCCGCCGCCCTGCTTAGCAAACTGCACGGTCGCGTCGTAGAAGCGCCGCAGGAACGCGCGGTTGTCCCCGCGGTTCCAGGGGTCCTTCCACGACTCGTAGCGCCCGTCGACGCCCCAGTACGGCGCGGCTGCCACGGCGCGCGCGTTGCGGGCCGGGGTCTTGTAGTCGCCAGTTTCGCCGCCGCCGATGCCGTACTCTGCGG